TGGGAAGCCTAGGGCCTTGGGCAAGGCCTACCCTTGGGAAGCCTAGGGCCTTGGGTAGGGCCTACCCTTGGGAAGCCTAGGGCCTTGGATAGGGCCTACCCTTGGGAAGCCTAGGGCCGTGGGTAGGGCCTACCCTTGGGAAGCCTAGGGCCTTGGGTAGGGCCTACCCTTGGGAAGCCTAGGGCCTTGGGTAGGGCCTAGGGTAGCCAAGGCCCCCGGTCCGGTGATCTATACCCCGCTGCTGGCTTGGGGCAACATTTGTTGTTGGGCATCGTGCCCATTGTTTCCGTACCCATTTCGGGCGTCCAAAGGAACGCCAGACCTCGCAGGACCTGCAGAGAGTTCGGGGGTTCACGGACCCAGGCTGGCGCGCAGGATCCCGCAGGACTTTTGCAGGATCCTGCGCAGCCCGACGGGCCAGGGGTCGGTGTGGTCCCTGTGTCAGTGACAGCCCGAGCGGGGAGTGCACAGATCCACCGCCGACCTTCCAGGGCCTCGGGAGGCGGTGGGGCCAAAGTACAGTGCCGTTTTTTTGTTATACATGCTCCGCGTGCGGATCATGCATTAAAAATGCAGGGATTCAGTATTAAGAACAACGATGAGTTCATGCATACATTTATTCATAACTGAACCATGTATTCAAATCCAATAGTTGGTTTTAACATTATGTATTAAAAATTGCCCAGTATATCCATGTCCACCGCCCCCCTGGGGTCATGGGAGGTCGAAGCCACAGGCAGCGCATCTACATAAATCCCGCCCTCGCAAGGATGTCAGCCGTGTTGTACCGGATACTCCATGGCCGCGTTGAGCGGAAGACGCTTACCCGATTCGGCTTGGATGGGGCAGGCAGCATGCAGGTGTCCGCCCCTTCGCCTTCAAGTACACGCGTGCGGTGGTCACGCTTCTGCTCGTTTGGATGTGAGTGTGTGTGTGTGTGTTTCGGCTGAAGGAGAAGCCGGCAGCACGGACATGCCGAGGTCGGGTGCCACGGAGCCCACGCCCTGGCGCAAAGCATTGTGGTAGCGAGCTCGCACGGAAGGTCCCCGTGCTGCGTCGGTGCATTTGCGAATCGCTGCAGCGGCGGCCGCCCGGGCCCCACGGCGGCTTGTTAATTAGACAGGTCCACCGGCCGCCTTGCCAGGAGGCGTCTGCCCAGGGAATCCAACGCCGCGGGGGCCGCGCCCGGCAGCACGCGGCAAGCGGGGGGCGCGCCCTCGGAGGACGTTTCGGGCGCAGCTGGGCACGGCGCCGCGCTGCAGGAGACGTCCCGCCTCCCGGGGCCGCCGAGGCAGCGGGGCTCGGAGGCGCCGCCCCAGTGAGGAGAGAAAAAAAGCGCGGACACAACGAATCGTCGATTCCACCAGAAATATAGGAACATAGGGGAAGTGGGGGGACAACGAAAATCCAGAAGATATTGGAAATCCTGGTACCTGTGTGTATTCATTTGTGTGCCCCTGAGCCCCATTCGTCCAGCCGACGCTGCAGCCGCCGCCAGCCGCGCCCGCGGCGGCGCGCCGCCCGCCGCCGCCGGCGCCGGGCCGCCGCGACCTCTGTGGGCTCCCGGTGTGGAGGGGGCCGACTGTCCGCGCGGCGCGCGGCGCCCCGCCTAGGGCAGCTGCGCATGGCCGGGTGCGCGCCTCTGGTCACCAAGAGCGAAAGAACTCTTGTAGAGCCCGTAGGAGCTCCTGTAGTTTGGGTGTGGGGGAGGACCACTACTCCACTAGTGAGTTATCCTTTAGTGCGCGCCTCAGTCCACGTGATCACCGTAGAGCTCCTGTAGTTTGGGTGCGGGGGAGGAGCAAGATATGCATATCGCCCAGATCAGATCTTGGCTTTTTTTGGTCGCGTCCAGGAGTATATCTGCCATGACAGATTTGCACTATTAAAGGCAGTGTCCATTTGCCTTGACAGGCTTGCGCTATTAATCGCTGTGTCCCGTCTAGTCAGAAGCTGATGCGCACAATGCCTTTAGCTGGAAAGACAAAAAAAAACGAAAGAACCCTTGCCCCTAAGAACATCGGGCCGGACGAAGGGGGGCGATTGGGAAAGGGGGGGTGACGAAGTCTGCTGCATGCAGCTGCTTTCGGCCTCACTGAGGGGCCCATTCCTCGGTACATAAGCCGCCTCCCGGCGCCGGGAGGCGCCGGGAAAGTCAGCCACGTGAGCTGATTCTCAGACCCCCCCTTTTGCTATCCCCCCCTTTCGCCCGACCCGAGAAAGAACCCTTAGCCCTAAGAACACGATGAAGTCGCGGCCTCACTGAGGTCCCCGCCCTCGCACCAGGGATGATAAATCCGGGCGGGCTGGTCTAATGCGTCCGCGGACACAAACAAAAACTGGGCCTACTATCCAGGCCTCCTAGATGGGGTCCGTGTAGATGGGGTTGGTGGATCGCGCCGCATCGCCGATGCATCGGCGATACGGCTCGATGTGGGGCCCACTTTTCTCCATTCCGGCGTCTCCGATGCGTCGCCGATGTTTCCGATGCATCGCCGATGCATCGTTGATGCATCGCCGATGCGGCGCGATCCTCCGACCCCATCTACTCGGACCCCATGTAGGAGGCCTCTATAATGGTTGTGGCCCTCCTAATTTAGGTCCCCTCCCAAAGGGGTAGGGGCCGTTTCCTTGGTTATCATCTGGCGATCGAAAAATCCCGCTTCCGCGCGCGACGACGCGGGGAGGGCAGCGAGGCAAAGCAGTGCGCTCGTGCAGGCAAGGGAAATGCACTCCATGACGACGGTCAGAAGATACAGGAAGACAGAAGTACTCTCCGCGCGCACGCTGTGACTAGACTTCTGCCACCGCCCCCAGCGGAGCCAGATCTCGCAGTGAGCGGCGCCGTGCCCGCGGGAGCGGCAGCCGGCAGGGCGCGACAAGGCAACGCGGCCAGATGCGGAAAAGTATGCTCGGGGAGCGCGCCGACGTGAAGCCGCCGAGCATCGAGGTGGACATGGCGGGGCCGGGCACGCGCTCCGCGCGGGCAGGCGGCGGCCCAGTGCGCGAGGCTCTGCGTGCGCCTGGCGTGGGTGCGCAGGGGGCAGGGCCGCGCGCGGTCGCACTTCAGCTCGCGGCACCTCTTCGACGAGCGTGCCCGCATGCCCTCGCCGGACAGCGCGCAGATCTCGCAGAATTCTGTTTTGGCACGGCAGCCATGGCGACGCCGTGTGCGCCGTCAGCGGCACATGGGCGGTTCGTCCACGCCCGAGTTTGCGACGTCTTCTTCGAGCGCGAGAGCTTCGAGAGGCTCCGTCGTGGGGGTCTCCGCGAGCTGCTTTTCGTCGGTGCCGGACTGGACGGTCGCCACGCCTTGGCTGGACGAGGTCCCAGGGCCACCGGGGGGGGGCGCCCAGGCGTGGCTGGCGGCTCCAGGCGCGGGGCTTGGGCCGGCCGCTCGGACGACCCCTGCGGCGGCGCGTGGGCGTCCGAGCCACGGCCGCTCCCTGACGCTGGCGGGAGGGGCGCGCCGCGCGCGAGCAACGCCGCCTGGCCCAGCACAAAATCGACGCCGCAGTCGCGCATCAACATCGTCGTCTCCGCGGGGGCCATGGCCGTGGCCTTAAGCGAACGGTGTTTCTACGCCTAGGTGAAGAAGACCTTGTTATCATCTCGTCCCGCTGCTGAGCAGCTTTCTGCGGGTCGTGCGGTCTGGCGGAGTGGAGGGCGGCGTATTGTTTCTCGACCAGGTGGTGGAATACTGAGAGTCGCGCGCCCCCCATCTTCGCACTGTCTCTTGTACGGGAGCAGTACGGGTCAGCTGTCCTGTGTGTTCTTCCATTCCGGACGGTTTCTGTCTTGACACAATTCAGTAGTCCCCAAACGTGGTGGTGACAACTCCTGGCGGTGAGTCTCGGGCGATTTGGTGTCACCACCCGGTTTGGGGACTCGTGCGGTTTTCCGAGGATGTCCCGAACGCTGGTGGGTCCAGGAGTCACAACACCCGGCGGTGACCCACCCGGCGGTGACTTTTTGGTGATTCCAGGTCAACACTTGATACCTCACCACCTGGTTTTGGGGCTCCCAAACGGTGCTCACGCTGCAGCGGTGATCTCACTTCAGGATCCGCGGCGCCCGGCCCAGCACAAACCGCACGTCCGGATCCGCGTGCTTCCTCGTCGTCGTCGCCCCCATTATTATTTTCCTCTCCCCGCCCTCCTCCGGCTGCTATGCCGCTTCTCGTGCTGATCGTGCCGCAGGTCCTCCTCGTAAATCCCTTCGCTCATCCAACACTTCCTCCTCCGATATCGAAACCATAAATAATTTCACACAAATCGACGACACAATATGGAATCCAAAAATAAAGAAAAACATTAATGCAAGATGTTTTTCACAAAATAACTTAGTTATTCCAGGTCTGCTATGACAGCCGGTGGCGGATAGGGAAACGTTGGCGCAATCTTCAGGACTGGGAGGAAGAGGTAGGGTGTCAGTTGTTGTGCGAGTTCACTCAGATAGTCGTTATCCTCATATCCACCCTCCCCCTCCACCCACCTCCTCCTTTCGCCAGCCACGAGGGGAATGCATAGGGGATGAGAAGAGGAAGAAAAGGCGGAGGAGATAGAGACGGAGGATTGACGGAGGATGAGGAGAATGAAACGCGAGCAGAGGGATGTGGGGATGAGGGAGAGTGGGACGAGAAAGGAGGAGGGGGAGGAGGAGGAGGAGGAGGAGGAACACCAGAGGGCGGGATGCCAATCTCCCCCCCTTCCCTTCTCTGCCCTCCGTCCTCCTGGCCCGTGCCTCCTCCTGGCCCGTGCGCTCCCCCCGCCCTGCTGTTCCTGCTCCCTGCCACCCCCCCTCTGTTCTCCTCCACTCCTCCTCCTCCTCCTCCTCCTCCTCCTCCTCCTCCTCCTCCTCCTCCTCCTCCTCCTCCTCCTCCTCCTCCTCCTCCTCCTCCTTCTCCTCCTCCTCCTCCTCCTCCTCCTCCTCCTCCTCCTCGGCCTCCTGCTCGTCATCAGTCCGTTTCCCCGCCACACACACCCCTCGCGCCCTGCCAGGCCTTGCGCCCCATGATGGCCGAGCTCCGGCAGGATGGAGCCAGGGAAGGCGGAAGGGGAGGGAGGAGGGAGGAGTTGGGAGGGAGGGAGGGGGGCAGCCTCATTTCGCCTCCCCTCCTCCCCTCCTCCTCCTCCCTCCCTCCCTCCCTCCCCTCCCTCCCCTCCTCCCTCCCTCCCCTCCTCCCTCCCTCCCTCCTCCCTCCTCCCTCCTTCCTCCTCCCCCTCCTCTCCTCTCCTCCCCTCCTCCTCCTTCCCCCCTGCTCCCCCTGCCCTCCCTCCCTCCCTCCCTCCCTCCCTCCCCTCCTCCTCCTCCTCCTCCTCCTCCTCCCCCTCCTCCTCCTCCTCCTCCTCCTCATCCTCCTTCTCCTCCTCGTCCTCCTCCTCCTCGTCATCGTCCTCCTCCTCCCGCCTCTTCGTCCTCCTCCTCCTCCTCCGCCTCCTCCTCCGCCGCGAGCCTCCTCCTCCTCCTCTGCGAGCCTCGGCCTCGGGCACATGCAAGGGTGCACGGCGGTTGAGGGCGGATTAGTCTTAGCGGCCGTCGGGTTTCTGAGACGAATCGGCCACCCGAATTGGCATATCAGCAGGCACGTGAATCGTCGGCACATGTCGCCACCATCGTGACCGAACTTATAGTTGTTCGGCAAGCGCTACAGCGATGCATACCCTGAGAGAGATGATTGGCATACAGCCTTACCAACGTAAGCCCGAAAACTTGCCTTTGACAATAGTCCGTGCCGTCGTCGACGCCATCTACATTTCGTCTGGAAGCGTTCCGTGCGCTGGGTTCGGTCGCAGGCAGGTTGGGCGAATTGTGTACGACGTTCAGAGATTGCTATGTTTGTCCAGGCAGGTGGTGAAGAAACGTAGCTGCAAATAAGCAACGATTGCGATGGAATGTGCAGTCGCTGGGAACGGGAACGGTGAACGGAAATCGTATCGCGGAGTGTTCCGAGGTTCTGAGGGCAGGTTTAGCCTGCCGTGTCGTCAGATTCAAGAGGCTCACGCCAACCCACCGACACCCCGAAGAGGAGAGGTGCGGCTGCCGATGTCATACGTGTTGTTTGCTGTTTGCCCGTCGTGCTGTTTGCGCGCAGTTTCCTCCTCAGCTTCCCGCAGTGTTGTCGATTCGTTGTCCTCTTCCTCCGCGTCTGTTTCGGGGCTTCTTGGAGGCCTCTCAGGGGCCAGGGTTAAGTCGGGCCTGTTCAGTATTTGTCGACCGTTTTGGTGGGTTGTGTTGATTATCTTTTATTGTTCATCCAAAATCCCCGTGTAGGAGGACAGGCCCGACTTAAGGCCAGGGGGGCGCCTTCTGGATCCGCTTCAGGGCTCCTGGGGGGGCTCTCGGCGGCTCCCTGGGAGCCTCTTGGGAACATCTTGGGAGCCTCCTGGGGCCTGCTGGGTGTCCTCGGGGCACGCTTGCGGGGAGGACCCCCCAGAGTCTCTGCGAGGCCTGCCTCCTGGGCCTCCGGGGTCCCTCGCGTGGCCCTCTTGGGGACCTTATCCAGCCAGTTCTGTGGCACAGAACTGAACAAGAAGGCGGACCCTCACAGAGCTCTGTGGCACAGAGCTGGACAAGAGGGCACAAGACTAGATCAGAGGGCCTTCTTGAGGGCCTTCTCATCTGTCTGAGTTGCACACAATTTGCGCAACTCAGATTACAGTCGGGACCCTGAAGAAGGAACCCTTTTCGTTTGGAAGGGGCTCCGCGTTCCTTAAGTGTTTCGCAGCTTGCCTCGGGTTTTCCTTATGTTTTCGATGATGGGAAATCGAAGGTTAACTTATGGAAAAAGGGGCCTCGTTCCTTATCTAGGGTTCCTTGGGTCAAGACCCCGACTGTATAGGCCTGGTGGGAGCTGGGAGCAGTGGGCCGGCTGGTGGCTCGGCACGAGCGCGGTGGTGCGGTGAGCCCAACGAGGGCCTGCAGCGCGCGCCTCCCGGTGGGCGCGAGACGTGGGCCGGCCACCTCCTCCTCCTCCTCCTCCTCCTCCTCCACCTCCTCCTCCTCCTCCTCCTCCTCCTCATCCTACCCAGGATCTGCAGGCCAAGGCGTCTGGAGGGACTGGCTGGGTGGGGCCATAAAACGACGCGAAGATCGGGACAAAAACGGATCGGGATAACTCGAAATCTCTCAGAATCGGCGGGTTTGGAGGACGTATTGGGCGCCGCGGCCGCTCCAGAGCGTTCCGGAACGCTCTGAGAGCGCTCCGGAACGCTCTGGAGCGATTTATCCCGATCCTAGCCTTGTTGTATAGCCTACGGAGCGCGCGGCCGCGTTGCCACAAATACCATCGTCTTTTTACGTCCTCGTACTGCTTCTCCCCTTCAGTTTCGTTACGGTCAGTGCGTGTAAGGTCTCACGTAGCTTGGGCGTCTTGGGGACCTGGGCCAGCTTGGGGCGTCTCTGGGACCTCTTGGGGGCATCATCTTGGGCCAGTCTGGGGTGGGGCTTCTCGGGCCGTCTTAGCTTTCAGAAACCCGACAAGGCGAGAACGCGGAAATCATGCACACATTGATCGACAATAAGCGATGCGCAAGTGAGGATCATCGAGGGACCTTCTTTGGGCGTCTTGGGGGCATTTCAGAACGTCGCGAGGCCATGTTGGGTGTTCGTGGGACTTCTGTGCCGTCTGGGTGATGGAATCCGTTTGGAATCATCTCAGAAGGCATATTGGGCATCTTGGAGCCCACGGACGGTGGATGTGATGTGGAGGCTCCAAGGGCCCCTGTGGTGCGTTGAAGAGTTCGTGCCCCCACATGCCCCCCCCCCCTTGCTTTGAGATTGTGGATCCCCGGGGAGGGGGCGAGGGGGGAGCCAAATATCTCAGAAGCCGCTGCACCCCCCGCAAGCCGGGGTCGGCGGACGCCCCGTCATCCTCCACCCGTTCATTTTCTTCATGTGTTCCGTGTCCTCCTCGTTGTCTGTTCGTGTTGTTCCAGATCCTCACCCTTTGTTTCCATCCTTGTTCCCCATTCGTATGGCCAGCCCCTCTCATACCTTTACTGCCAACCAGAGAGTTAAGGTTACTACAAGTCATGATGGCGTCACGTGTACTTTGCCATGCCCAGGCTATGATGTCTCTGTATCGGTATAGTATTGGTTGGATTGCATGTGGTTCTTTGCAGTCACCCCCTTCCCCATCTTTTGACTTCCTCCTCAAGCCTGCTGCATGTCTTGCTGCGCTCGCATCCACTCTCCACAGTGGGCTCATTGCCTCGAGCCTGCTGGGGCTGGCCCGTCTTCCTCGCCTCCGCGGGAATCCGAATGAGTGCAGGAACTGCTCGGAGAAGTACGCGAGGCTTGCTTCCCCCTTGGCCTCGTCCCCATAATGGCTATCCTTTTGCTGCTGGTGCCGCTCCACCTACTTCTGAATATCCTCCTCGCGGGTCCTAGTCGCTTGATCCCAGTCTGCGGTTGTCGCATCCTGTCCATTGGGAGGGAGACGCGAGTCAAGCATTTCTTCAAGTAAACATCTTCGTTCTTGGTGGTGGAAATTCTGGTTTCTTTTGCCCAGGCCAGTCGAGAATCCCGGGCCACCGCACAAAGCTAGACGCACCTAGAGCGTTTGAGAGCCAGAGTTCCTAGTCTTTCCAGTTCGGAATCGTTAGCGTCCAGGATCCATGATGGTCAGCTTATGTTCACCATCGGCGGTGCAATGTTGATTGAGAAGGTGCACCCTAGGATGCATCCCTGTGCAACTTTAGCCTAGAGGTCAGCAGCATGCCTTTGGTGTCCCAAGGCGTTTCTTGACAGACACTCAGAAGATGTTGAGAGCGTCATCAACCCAAAAAGATTCACATGTCGCTATGCGCAGTGGTAGAACTACTGATCAGTTCAGGAACGGCACCACGAGCACGAGGAAGAATGAGGAGGTAGGCGGAGGAGGAGGAGGGGGAGGTGAAGGAGGGGAGTATGAAATCACACAACCTATTGCAGTGCAACCGCCCTCAGCCCAAGACGCCAAGTCGCTGGGCTGCTATCCCATTCAATGCGTCGCCGACACGTTCCAGAAATGATGTGTCACGGTAGCCAAACGTGTACGTGCATGTATAACTATGCATACATATGTCTATGCGTATCTACAAATATGTGGATTGAGGGCGAGCGGAGCCCAGCCATGTAGTCTTCGTGCAGTTTGGAAGAGAGAGCGGGGGCGGTCTCCCGACGAGCCTCCAGCGAGTCGGCCTCGGAAGGTTGAGGGGGAGGCCTCGTGAGCGTGTCGCAGTTGGAGGGTGGAGAATACTGCGGTGGATCGTGTGCTCCGTGTTCTTCCTTGTCCCCCCCTCTCCAAACCAGCGCCCTGACTTGGCGGCGAGCAGGGCGGGGTAATGGGAGGGGGGAGGCGTCTTAAAGGAGGCTGCGTCTTAGCAGGCGCGGGCCTCTTACATCTACACACACAAAGGCCCGCGGCGCCTTCGAGGAAGCAGCCTCCTCCTATCAGGAGGAAAAGAAACACACAGACACAATTAATCCTCGATTGCCCAGAAAAGATGGGAAAAAAAATATGGGAAGTGGGCGGGAAGACAGAAAGCCAGAAAATATGCGAAAACATGGGGATTATTTTATTTGTGTGGATTTATTTGTGTGTCCTTGGGCCCCTTCATTCTAAGAAGCCTTCCCCCCTCCCCCCTACCCCCCTCTGCGCGCCGCCGACTGGCTTGAAGACACGATTGGTCAGTTGTCGCAGAATTCGCTCCAAGGTCAGCACGCGCAAGACAGTGCTTACTGGCCTTCGGTCCATCCCGCCACCGCGCCCAGGTTGCAGGTCAGAGGCATGTTGAAGGCATGCGTTCTTGGATTCAGTTGGATGGTGTCGGGGTGCCTCTTTGGGAGCTATTGTGTGCCCTGGGCTCCTTGGGGGCCTCTTGGAGACATGCTGGCGGCCTCGGGAGTCATCTTAGGGCGGAGGCTCGAAATGCCAGGTCGTGCTCCCCCTCTTGGGGCCCTCTCTGTGCTGCCATAGGGGCCTCTTGGGCCACGTTTGCTTGGCATCGCTCGGACGTGTGCATTTTTCCTTCGGCGAGGACCATCGAGGAGCATCCTTGATCATTTGGCGAAAAGAAAACACGCACGAAACCGAAAAAAAACACAGGGAATGGACGTACGAGCGATGGCGAGTAGGGGCCTCTTGGGCCACGTTTGGGCCCCCTTGGGCCGTCTGGGGGCCCTCTCCGTGGCCTCTTGCGACGCATTGGGGCGACTCTGGGAGGCTCCTGGGCCGCGCTGGAGCGTCGGGAGCCCGCAGAGGCGGGAGCGCGATGCAGTCGGGGCCCCGAAGAGGGAACCCTTTTCGTTGGGGAGGGGCTCCGTGTTCCTTAATTGGTTCGCAGCTTGCTTGGGATGTTCTTTAGGTTTTCGGTACGAAGTCGAAGTTCAGCTTATGGAACATAGGGGCCTCGTTCCTTATTCAGGGTTCCTTAGGTCAACGCCTCGACTGTACTCGCACCAAACTTACAACGGAAAGGAACGATATCCTGGCCTCCTGGGGCCCGCTAGGAGTCATCTTGGAGCCCTCTTGGGGCGTCTTGGGGGTCTCTTGGGGCCATCTGGGCATCTTGGAGCGATCGTTCGGGCCTCTTGGAGCCCTCTCAGGCCGTTGCGGGGCCCTCTTGCCTCCAGGAAAGTCACGGTGAGAGCGCCCAAGGACGCCCAGAATTCGCGGTTGTGGGCCCAGAAAGGTCCAGAAAGATTTACGTATTCAACAAGGAGTACTCGAAGTTCTTTGTGGACACTCCACTCCGTGCCGCGAGGCTCGGTGGCGGATCTGCCGAGGTAGCTTATCCATTGAGAGGGGCGGCGTCGTCGTCATCATCGCCCTCCGCATTCCTCCTCGTGCTCGCCCTCGTTCTCTTCGTCCTCGTCCTTGTGCTTCTCTTCCTCCTCGTTGTCCTCATGCTCCTCCTCGCTATCCTCACGTTCGCCACGTCGTCCTCGTCATCGACTCCTCGTTGTCCTCGCCTTCCTTTTCTTCTTCTTCGCCCAATACGCCCATTAGACTACAGCGGCGCCTCCCGTTCTTGTCCGAGCAGGTTTGCCGAGGTAGCTTATCCATTGAGAGGGGCGGCTGGTGGTGCGGAAGGTTCTGTCTTCGCTGCGGCGCCCGCCCCCGGACCCGAGGCGCAGTGCGCCCTCCTGGAGCAGGGCTTCCGCCTGCACGCGGAGCTGCGCCAGGAGAGCGTCCTTCCGTCATGCCTGTTCCTTGCAGTGCCGTTTTTTTTATACATGTGCCGCGTGCGGATCATGTATCAGAATGCAAGGGTTTGGTACTAAAAACAACGATGAGCTCATGCACAGAATAATTCATACATGCATCCTGTATTCAGAATCCTATATGTCCAAAAATCCTGTGTATCAAAAACTGCCCTGTACCAGCGCGTCTCGCCGGAGGGTCTAAACGAGAGGTAGCGACAAGGTCGGCCACCGAAGAGTCCCACCCGGGGGGGGCGGGGAGAGCCCGACACCGCCCGGCGCGGAGGCGGTCGGGCGGCGGTTTCGCTTCAGATCCTTTCACGACGCAGTCATGCCAATGCCTCATCCTCCTCCTCCTCCTCTTCCTCCTCCTCCTCCTCCTCCTCCTCCTCCTCAGGAATCGCCTCCTCAGGAATCGCGCTCTCGCCCCAATGCCAGCTGCATTTTTGCTCCGGACGGCCACGCTGGGTGGTGAAAGCACAAAGTACCTTGGCAAAGAACCCAGTCCGTTTTGTAGACGCGTGGCGGATTGTAGGAGGAGGAGCATTCACTGAACATGAACATACCGAGGGATGTGCAATTCCCCTGAACGCCTCGCCCAGAAATGGAAAGCTACACTCAAAGCCGCCCCATTCACGCATGCACTCTCAGTGGGGGCTTCGGTGGAGCTCCCTACGGGGCCACGAAAAGGGGCAACAGAACCTGTGAAGGGTGTGCCATAATGGACCCGAATACGCATGCGAACCTTGCTACTAAGGCCTTCGGTGGAGCTCCCTATGGGGCCACGGAACGCCTGAGGGTCATGCAAAAATTGGCACGAGTACGCATGTGAACCCTACCATTGGGGTCTTCGGCGGAGCTTCTTATGGGGTCGCGGAACGTGTGATGGCATGCCGAAGTTGACCCGAATACCCATGCGAACCCTGCCGCTGGAGCCTTCGGTGGAGCGCGCTATGTGGCCGCGAAACATGTGATGGGTATACCGAAATAGCCCTGAGTACACATGCGAACCCTGCCACGGGAGCCTTCGGCAGGGCCCCCTGAGGCGCCACGAATCGTGTGAGAGGTGTGCCGGATTTGAGCGGAGTACGCATGCGATCTTTGCCATTGGAGCTTTCGGTGGAGCCCTTTATGGGGCATCGAAGCGTTTGGGGGTTACTCCACTGCCCGAGTACGCACGCGAACCTTGCCACTGATGCTGTCGGTGAAGCGCCCTGCCAAGATCGACCTGAGTACGCATATGATGTTTGCCATTGGAACTTTCGGTGGAGCTTCCCATGGGGCCACGAAGCGTGTGAGGTGTGCGCCGAAATTGACCCGATTACGCATGCGAACCTTGCCATTGAAGCCTTCGGTGGAGCTCCTGCTGGGGACACGAAACGTGTGAGGTGTGCGCCAAAATCAACCCGAGCATGCGTGCGAAACTTGCCACTGGAGCCTTCGGTAAAGCTCGCTATGGGGCCACGACGCGTGTGAGGTGTGCGCCAAGATGGACCCGAATACCCATGCGAACCCTGCCACTGGAGCTATCGGTGGAGCTCCTTATGGGACCACGAAACGTGTAAGGTGTGTGCCCAAATCGACTCGAATACGCATGCAAACCCTGTTACTCGAGCCTTCGGCGGAGTTCCCTATGGGGCCACGAATCGTACAAGTGGTGTGGCGAAACATTGATGTGAATGGTGGTAATGGTAACGAGTATGGAGACGATGATGCTAACGACAACGACGAGGATATTGATGACATTGATGACAAGGATGAGGAAGAGGAGGAAGGAGGAGACTCGCGGCGCTGCGAGTTCAAAACGAGGACCACACACACAGGAGGGTTGGGAACAAAGGTGCACATGACCGTGATCTCACCCCTGTCCCGGCAGCATCATTCCTAGGAATACCGAATACGTATTTCGGAAGGCAGTGTTTCATTAGTCGGCCTACTAGTCGGCCCGTTTGTTTCCTATTTTGTTGTTAGGGTGTTTTGTGGGGCATGGTTTCACGACTGGGTTCCGCGTTCACGCAAACATCCACAATTCACGATTCGGTATCTATGTCTCGGTCGGGCGATCAATACGAGTCTTGTCTGTCGGTTGACTTACTCCGACTGTTTGATCAGGTTCGGTCGTCGTTTGATTCGGGGCAACTCAATCGAATCAGATTAGTCCACATGTCTTGGGATAGAGTTGATGATTGGTTGATTCAATCGACCGTATCGTCGTGTGCGTCTTCACCATTCCACGCGTGCTAGTACCAGGCAGACCCCATTCGATCGGACTCGTATCTCTTGGGGTCTTCTTGATCGATCTAAGACTGGGGGGCGGCTTTCAGTTACGGCCCCTCGACCGAAACAGACGCTATTGGGGCTGTCATTGGCCCATCTTCGGCCCCTTTGGAACTTTTTTGGGACATGTTGGAGCCAACATCAGGCTTCAAGAGCCCCAAGAAAGCTAAAAGGCGAGAATACAAAAGCATGAAGTTTCCCTCGGCTTAGGAAGTATGCTGGTCTTTCGGGGTGGTCGTTGGGAGGCTCCGTGCAGGCACTTGGACCCGGCTTCGTACGGTTATGGCACCTCTTGCAGGCATGTTGGAAGCCATATGGAGCCATTTGAGACTAATTTGTGCGATTCTGGAGGTTTGCATGAGCTATCTGCCGCCAGTTTGCGCCATCTTGGACGCTCTTCTCCTTCGCGAAAGAGCCCGTCCAGAGGGAAAAGAGGAGGTTGGAAGAAGTAACTCGCTGAACTACCCACGCCCAAAGGGCTGGTGGGATTGCCAATCGAGTCGCATGTCACCGTTCTCGGGGCCACCTCTGTCTGATCTGGGTTGAAATCGTCGGGTCGTCCGCACCAGCAGGTCTCAAGCGTCGATAAGTTGTGTCCGCAGGCACCGTCGGCCGCGGGTTTGGCGGGGATCAGTCCCACCTCCAGCCGAACACAGCAGAGTGTTTTGCAGATCCGCAGCCATAGTGGTTAAATCAATTTAGGATCAAACGTCCTGCTCAAGAGAAGCTTTCGCCCACGCATTCCGGTCCTGCTTCAGGAAACCGAGATTTGGCCATGGCAAAAGGTTTCTTTGTAGCGATATGTTTCTCCTTAGCCGTCACCGTGCGTTCAGATGAAGCGAGTTTCAAACAATGCGTCACAGACAAAGTAGCCGGAGTCAAAGACGCTTGCAGCGGGGCGGTAATGGGTCAATGTTCGGAGGTTTGCAAGGATTCGCTGGACACTGTGCTCGATGAAGTTGATTCCTGTTGCAGCGATCTCTCGTCGTGGAAGGCTATGGCATGCAAGATGGGGATGTCGCAGGTGGTGCAACGGCTGAAAGCCAAGATTGCCCAGCACTGCCCGGAGGGCGAGTTTGGCACCGTCGCCCTGCTCTTCGCCGACCTGTTGCAGCTGGACGCCTCTGACACGCTTGCGGCCACCGGGCCACTTACAGAGAGCAGCGCGCTTGGACCAGCGGCGTGGGCCTCGGCAGGAGCGGTCGCGGGCGCCGCGGTGGCCGCAGGGGCCATGTGCACCGCGGGGCGGCCGCGCACGGTCGCAGCTCCTGCGCTCCTCGGCTAGTGCAGTTCAGGGCCAGCGACATTGGCATCACCAATCGGGACGATCGACATGGGAACGGAAAGAACAGGTACGAAGACCGTCAGCACTTCCTGATCATTTTGATCTGGACTCGCTGTCGGTGCCGGCGCGGCCTGTGTCCATTCGAGACGGAAGGCCGCCTGCCCGACAGCGGCCGTTGTTGGTTTGGGACAACCTTTGCTGTCGGGCATTGTGCCTATTTTTATCCGTGCCATTTTCGGGCGTCCAAAACCAAGGGCGGCGGCACAAGCAGCACATCGTCAGCGCTATCGATGAAGCCCCGATGCGTTCCATAAAAAAGATGGCCACACAGGAAGAAGGGGCGTGCTCTGCATTCTCTTCTGCTGCTCTGGGAAGCATTATCTTCATCCTCCTCTGCTGGCCATGCAGAACTTGCAGCGCGGCGTGCTCAGCGCGAGTTGCCGCTGCCTGTGTCGTTCTGATGTGGTCGATCGCCTCCTCTTACTTCAGGAGGGGAAAAAACACACAGACACAATTGGTCGCCGACTCCCCCAGAACTATGGGAAAATATAGGAACTGTGGGGGGGGAAGACAGAAACCCAGAAAAGGTTGGAACAGATGGGGAATCTGGTTATGTGTGTCTGTTTATTTGTGTGCCCCAGGGCCCGTTCATTACTGTTCAGTCGTCATCCTCTGCTCCGTCTGCGCCGCCCGTCCTCGCTCCTTCCCGGGGAGGACGTCGAGGCGCTGCGGGCGGAGGTGCAGCAGCTGCGGGGCTCGCCCCGGGGGGGGGGGGGCGCTCCCGCCGCCAAGGGATTCGCTCGCTCGGACGGGTGCCCGCGGCGCGGCCGCTGCGTCGCTGCAGCATCGATACGGCCCTCCAGGCCGCCTGCGGCGTGTCAGCTCCAGTCGGCTGCGGCTCCGCTGTCGGCTCGACCGGCTGCGGGCTCTGCTGCTGCCGGAGGCGCCCCTGCGGAGGAGGCCGAGATCTAGGACGGGAGGATCGGATCGGGGGGGGGCAACGGCGAGGATCGGGCCGCTCGGCGGCGGGCGGGGCAAAGAAGTCGCGCGGGTCGGAGCTCATCCCAGAAACTGTCTTACAGTCGGGGCCCTAAAGAAGGAACCCTTTTCGTTGGGGAGGGGCTCCGCGTTCCTTGAGTGTTTCCCAGCTTGCCTTTGGTTTTCCTTCTGTTTCCGATGGGAAATCGACGTTCAACTTATGGAACATAGGGGCCTCGTTCCTTATTTAGGGTTCCTTAGGTCAACGCCCCGACTGTACCCCGCCTGCTGCCGCTGCGCAGCGCCACGGCTGCGATGCCAGGCCCTCAGGCGCGCAAGCCGCGCGCGCCCGCCGCCGGAGGGCGCCGAACCCACACCGAAGCCGAGGAGGAGGAGGACGACGAGGAGGGGGAGCAGGAGCAGGAGCAGGAGCAGGAGCAGGAGGAGGAGGAGGAGGAGGAGGAGGAGGAGCAGGAGCAGGAGGAGGAGGAGCAGGAGCAGGAGCAGGAGCAGGAGCAGGAGCAGGAGCAGGAGCAGGAGCAGGAGCAGGAGCAGGAGCAGGAGCAGGAGCAGGAGCAGGAGCAGGAGCAGGAGCAGGAGGAGGAGGAGGAGGAGGAGGAGGGAGGAGGAGGGAGGAGGAGGAGGAGGAGGAGGAGAGAGGGAGGAGCAGAGCAGGAGCAGAACAGGACAGAGGAGCAGGAGAGGAGAGGAGGAGAGGAGAGGACAGGAGCAGGAGTGCAGGAGCAGGAGGAGGGAGAGGAGTAGGAGGAGAGAGAGGAGGAGGAGGGAGGAGGTGGAGGGGGAGGAGGGGGGAGGGGGAGGGGGAGGGGGAGGGGGAAGGGGAGGGGGAGGAGGTGGAGGAGGAGGAGGAGGAGGAGTAAGAGGACCTCGTCTTCCCCCCCCCCTGACAGCCTCGGCGGAGTCTCCCCGGGTGCGGGGTCCCCTCGCGGGACATGCCTTGCCCAGTGCCGGAGAGGCGCGGGTCGATTTGAGGCCCTATTGTAAAGTGTTGGTTGTTATTTGGGGGCGATAGCGAGGGCATCTGGAACCGTTTGGGAGCGTCGGGGGCCGAGAAGGCGAGATCATCAAAATGATTTCAAAATGATTGAAAATGTTGAGGAACATCTGCCTGCACATGTTACCTGTTGGGGCCCTTGTTTCCGAGTGCTTTTGGAGGCCTCGTGGAGTTTTGTTGGGAATCCCAGCCATTTTTGGACCGTCTTGGAGGTCTCTATGGGGCACGTCTGGCCCTGCTGGAGTTTATTATTGGGGGCCCCAGGAACCTTGCGGGGGATGGCATTCTGACCCAGGACCCCCTCGGGAACCGCCTCGACCCCCTGCCAGACGCCCCCTCGGGACCCCCCTTCCTCCCAGCGGGGATGGGATGACTCCATTACGACGATGCTGCTCAATTTCGCTTTGGCCCTTTGGCTGGCGCGCTTGAGGAGAAGGACCCACTGAAAGGGGGGATGCGGCGAAGGCGACGACGGGGACGACGGCGACCACGACCACGACCACGACGACGACGCCGCCCCCGCCCGAGACGACGACGACGACGACGACGACGACGACGACGACGACGAACGGAAGAGCGTCTTTCACACGCCGACAGTCGGCGGATGTTTGCCACGCGATGTGTTCCCTAGGTTAGTCGTTGCATCCGTTCCCCTATACCGTTCTCGTGGTCCGCTTCTGTGTACGAGTTGTTTCTCTTCCCCTCGGCCCACTCACCGTCGTTGTTGCCGTTGTCGTGGTCGTCGTTGTTCTCCGTCGCCAGATGGAGAACACGGTGCGCCGCAGGCAACACGGCAACCGCCAGGGCTGCGATAGCATCGGAAGGGTGGTGTATGAGGCAGTTGTTTTACTCCTTGCCTCGCGTGTCCTCTCGTGCCGTTTCTTTCTCTGTATTTGTCGCCCCCCCTCGTCGCCGCCGTTGTCGTCATCGCCGCGCTCGTCGCTGTCTGACACAGACAGTTGTAAGTCGGGCCTGTCCCTCTACAGGAGGAACATCCACAAACAGTCCAAAACAGAAATAGCCTGGGGGCGATGCCTTGACTACTTTCGGCTATGTCTGCACATCTTGGGGGCACTTCTCATCTTGCGCCCAAGATCCCCCTGCAGTCACCACCCACCAAACCACCCCAACCCAACCCGAAGGCTCAGATTTACCCTCGATTTCTAGTGAGGGGGGGTCGGGAAACATCGAAAAAACACATGTGGAACCCTTACGCCCCCCAACCCGAAATTCGGGTCTTCGGGTTAGGTTGGGGTGGTCTGGTAGGTAGTCATGCAGGGGGACACGCCCGACCTCAGGATGGCCTCCCTGGCCGGTGCCGCTTAGCCGCGCGTTCTGTGAGGTTCGCTCGGCGTGCCCGGGCGCGCGCTGCCGCGCGCCGGCGGGGGCGCCCACCGCAGCGGGCCAGCAGTGCATCGACTAGACGCAAGTCAGGATAAAACGACGCGAAGATCGGGACAAAATCGGATCGGGATAACTCGAAATCTCTGAGAATCGGCGGGTTTGGAGGATGTATTGGGCGCCGCGGCCGCTCCAGAGCGTTCCGGAACGCTCTGAGATCGCTCCGGAACTCTCTGGAGCGATTTATCCCGATCCTAGCCCTGTTTTACAGGAGGGCAAAAAAAAACACAGACACAATGAATCGGCGATTCCCCAGAAAATATGGGGAAATATGGGAAGTGGGGGGGGGAAGACAAAAACCCGGAAAATGTTGGGAAATATGGGGACTCTGTCTATTTGTGTGTATGTATTTGTGTGTCCCAGGGCCCCTGCAAGAGTGACCTTTCGCCAGAGTGACCTTTGGTGCGGGCCCACGGGGGGGCCCCGATCGCCGAGCGCGAGGCGGCGGAGGCGTCTTGCGCGCTTGCGTTTGGCCCCCCGGCGGCCCCCCAAAAGCCGCGCACCAAAGGTCACTCTTGCCCAGGGTCTCTCTTGCGCGTAGCCGAGTGGACGGCAGGGCGTCAGATTCCCCAAGCTGGTTGGGGAACATGACGCCCTGCTGTCGGTTCGGTTCGGTTCGAGATTGGGTCTCGTTCGGTTCCGGTTCGGTCCGGTTCTTGTTGGCAGAGCGTGCGGTGCGTACCGGTTCGGCCCGGTTCGGTTCGGCCGGTTCGGTTCGGCTCCTGAGCCTTCCTGCAATCAGTGCTGGCGCTGAAGGGGTCCTGCGGAAGTTGAGAGATTTGGCGAAAGTTTCCAGCCGATTTTGGTCGCATGCTGGGTTCTTGGGCTCTGGGCTCCCGGGCTCCCGGTTAATTGGTGTGGGTGCTGGGTTCCCGGGCTCCCGGGTTCTCGGTCGATCTTTTCAGCGAAAACCATTCATCTTTGGTGTAATGTTTTTTGTTTTCCGTGGATGTATGGATGCAACAGACGTTGGGAAGAGGTGGCAGTGGCGTCTCGGGCAATGGCGTCAGAGAGTGACGATAGTCGCGTCCTGCCAACTCGCCCAGAATGACTCGTAATGAACCTTCATGAGTAAGGTGACCGAATAGTTCCACATTTTGTGCGTTTCTTCCCTCCCCCCAATGTTTTGTTCATCTCTTCGCGGCAGGGTCCCCCCAATTTGTGTATCTCCTAGCGCCAGGGCAGCGTTCCTCCAAACTCGCCGGGCGAATGACGAGGGCAGGAGGAGAGCAGCATCGCATGGAGAGGGTTCACACCAGCTGTCTCGCGAAGATCTTACGGGACGGGCGTTGTCAGAGGTGGTCCTGACACAAGGTGTCCCAAGTTTTGCATTCCATTGTGGAGTCTTGGGGCCCCTTTGGGCCTCGTGAGGGGGGCTCTCGAGGCCGTGTGCCCCCTTGGGGAACCAGGAGCCACCTCGGGCCAGGCCCACCTCTGGCATCACCCGAGTCTTGCGGATAGCGCAGGGTGGTGTGTGAGGCCTCCTTGGGGTTGTCTCTGCTGAGTGTGACAGGGTCCAGGGAGCCCCGCGAGCGGTCCTCGCCCTCCCTTCTCCTCTTCGAGCCTCCACGCTCAAGAGTCGCACAGGGATCCAAAGTGCCTCCTGGCCTCCGGCCAGGCCGCCGTGTTCTCGCGGGGCCGTTCTTCTGGACGCCTGTCGGCGCCTCGCCTCCAGGGACACCAACAGGTACTCCAGATTTCGTAATAAAAGGGAGGGGGGTCTCATTTCGGGGGGGGGTCTCTTCCAGGCTATCTTGGAGGGCCTGGGGGGGTCTGGGGACGATGTTTTGGAGGGTTCTCCCACGGGGGAGGTCTGAAATGGCTTGTCTTGGAGGGTCCAGACCCCCTCCCTTTTATTACGAAATCTGGGGTACCGACACCGCTG